CCAAGAGTTGGAGGTTGCTGTTGAGCTGTGATGCCAGAGGGTAACATAGTAACAGTCTGTCTCAAAAAAAAAAACAATGATATCCATACCTACAAGAAAGGCTAAAATTAAAGATAGACATCATTAAATATTGATGAGGGAGTAAAGCACTTGGGCCTCTTGACCTGGTCCAATGGGACCATAAAATAGCACAACCTCTTTGAAAAATTGGCAATATGTTTACGGTAACCGGGAAGCTTATGTTTATAATTACCCAGAAACCATCCAAATGCCCACCAACAGAAGAATGAATGAATCAGGGTGGCATAGCCCATTCAACACAGCAGTGAGAATGCGCCCCATTATTCTGCGGGAAAGAAGCATTATTTGGAGGGAAAAGAAGATGCACATTACAGAAGATAAGCTGGTTATTTAATTTATAGGAAATTTAAAAGGGACAGGTGAAATTTTTTTATTTTTTTTTTTATTAAATCATAGCTGTGTACATTAACACAGTCATGGGGTACAGTGCGCTGGTTCTATATACAATCTGAAATATTTTCATCAAACTAGTTAACATAGCCTTCATGTCATTTTCTTAGTTTTTGTGTTAAGACATTTATATTCTACATTTAGAAAGATTCACATGTACCCTTGTAAGATGAAGGGACAGGTGAAATTAAAGTCTTCTTTAGAAGTCACAGCGAAGGGGGCTGGTGTGGTGGCTGACACCTGTAATCCTAGCACTCTGGGAGGCTGAGGCAGGTTCCCTTCAGCTCAGGAGTTTGAGACCACCATGAGCAACATAGCAAGACACTGTCTCTATAAAAAGTATAATTAGCTGGGTGTGGTAGTTTGCAACTATAGTCCCAGCTACTTCAGAAGCTGAGGCAAGAGTCCTAGGAGTTTGAAGGTGCAGTGAGTTCTGATGACAACTCTTGCACTCTAGCCTGGACAACAGAGTGAAACCTTGTCTCTAAAAATAAATAAATACAAACATATATACATATAAATAGAACAACAAACTCTCATCTCATCTCTCCTAAGGCACCTAGGTAAACTGGCTGCATACAAAAACCAACAGCTATTCTAGTTTGAAGAAAAAACAGCTGGTAATGGAAATGGG